ATTCAATGCCAGCCTGTCTCAGTTCCAAGAACCGGCAGAGTGATTTTTGCTTCCCTCTTCTAAGTGAACAACAAAATGTAGCTGCAAACCAATTACTGCCCTCTAAATTACATCCTTATTTTGTTTTTCTCTAACCTCCCAAAACATAATAGGGCATCCAAGTTTTTAAAAAGGTCAGCAGCTCACTTTCATAACCGCATGCATGTGCATCTTACATTTTCCCAGGCCTGCGGCAGCACCAATCTGCTGCCTATGATAAATATTTTAATTTCAAGTTATCAAATAATAATGAAAAGGCGAAAAGTGATTCAAGCTTGATATGAATGGAGACAACCCAAAGGCATTAAAGAGAATGATGCTAATGCTGTGTAAGACATTCTTGTCGATCTGAAGCAGAGGACATCACAGACCAGCCAGGTCAAGGCCAAGTATGTCAGCGTTTCTATTTCTGGCACATGGATGACTTATTTAAACCACCCTACGTTTCATGACACCCACAACACTCACAACGCCCCAGCGTCTGCTTGAACAGACTCTCTGCCTTCTGTGCATGTGTGCTGGAGGTGAACACACGCACACACACACACACACACACACACACACACACACACACACACACACACACACACACACACACACACACACACACACACACACACACGCACACACACACACACCCACTTGGCAGATGCTTCAACAAATTTCAATATCAAAAACCACCCGAGTAAGTACAGAAGGAGTTTTTAGATGCTGAATTCATTTATTAAGTGTAAAAAAAAATGCAATCTCATCCAAGTTAGTAATATGTAAAATAACTAAGTCAGAATTAAACTGTAAGTTGTAAATGATAATTTCTTGGAAAACTGAGTTCAGTTTCACATGCCTGTTTGTAGATTTAAAAAAAAAGATTACTGCGACTGGAACATCTCTGAAAACACAATGTTGGCTTATCTGAAGGAATTCAGAAACTTTTATTATTAATAAAGCTTTTATTAATAAATGAAGGCTTTTCTCAGTGAGATGCCAACCAAATACACAGGCTCGCCACTAAAAATGACATCCAAGTTATATTGGGTGTCAAATACAACTTTCTCACTTCTGATGCGATACAAACAATGTAGCTTTAACAATTGGCTGGTACAATATCGACCTGATATGACATCATCACAAATCATATATGATTTTATTACTTATTTTATTGTGTGGAATGTTAGAAAAGGCTTTAACAAGTGATGCTACTCAAGCAGAAAACAGTAGTCAATGAGAACATCTGACACATTTGAATGGAGACAACCCAATCAATAGGTCTGATTTATAATCCGATATTAATTTTTTGATATTGACCGATTTTTGATAGCGTGGCTCCTTTAGGACCATGGCATGTTTTATGGAGAAGGAAACCTCATCCAACAGTGCAATGATCCAAAGCACACCTCCAAGTCCCCCATCTGAATGTCTCAAAGAAAAAAGATAAATGGTGGTTTTGAAGTGGCCTAGTCAAAATCTGGACTTGCAGTGGAATGACCTTGTACAGGCCTCCAAAGAGTCTGAATGAAAGCAATTCTGAAAAGAAGAAAGGGCAGAAACATACATAAAACCTTAAACGTTGGTTTGGGTCACTTCTTTCCTTTGATAACGGAATTAACGATTTACAAAAGTGCACTGTGTACGGACTCTGGTTCTCTTTTTCTTCTGTTTAAAAATTGTTTGGTTATCTGAAACACGTAATTGTGACCCCCAAAAAACAGAAAAAACAACCATTAAACAAATCTGTGTGGGGGATAAATACTTTTTCACAGCTCTGTGTAAAAATCTGGCCTTCCCAGTTGGCTCCACTTGGGATTTGTCGTGTCCAGTGAAAATTCCTCCTCCCGCTGCTCGACCTGGCCGTCAATCAGCTGCGTTGAAACGCAATTGAAGCAACTGCTGCTGGGCACAACAGCTTGTCCAACGTTTCCCCCCAGTCTGTGTCGCGGGGTAAGGTGCTGATTTTGTTGCAGCGAGAGAGCAACCCCCACGCGCCCCCTCCGCTGCCAGCAGTGCCGCATGCTGACCGCTCTAGCATGATGCCATGCGTGAATGAGTGATTAATCCTGCCCTTGTGCATGCACGTCTCGCGTGCTCGTGTCTGTGCGTGTTGCCGTGGTAACCGGGGTGCGGGTCGGGCCGCCCTGTGGAGGCCGGAAGCCCTCCCCTCTCGGGGACTGCGAGTGCTGGCAGAGCATCCAGTGCCATCGAGAGCCAGTTTCTGGCACTGACTTCATGCCTGACTTACTGGATTTTTTAATTTTTTTTTTTAACTGTTGGATTTTATGTGTGCGTGACTTTAATCTTTCAACACAATCTCCAAAGACACTCAAACAAAAGAAGCCGTCCAGTCCTCTCTGGAGTCGTTCCACACTTATCTCCACCACTGCTGCTTCGTCCCGTATGCCCTGCCTCACTTATTTTTTTTTTAACACGCAAAGAGTAACAAATGTAATGAACTAAAAGTGAGGGGAAGGCGGGGCTCTCCACAAAAACGCTGCAAGAACAAACATGAAGCCATCTGGGGCACTTAAGAGTGATGACAGCTGCAGGACGGAAGGACAGCTAGATTACTGGTGAGAAATGAGCAGTTTTTTCTCCGGGGTTCTTCAGAGTTAAATGTAGCTGCATGTGAATAATTCAACCTGAAAAAGAAGAAGAAGAAGGGCCCCTGTTGCCCCAGTGGACATCAGGAATAGGATGATCTGCCCTACAGAGTAATTAGAGTGCTCTACTGCCCGATTATCTCATTAATATCCATAAATAACCGCATGCTGTTTGATCCGGTATAATGTGATAAGGTGCGGTTTTAACAAGCTCTTGCTGCTTTCCCCCCACCGCTCAATTTTCCACCGGTCCAGATTTGCAGTATAATGATGAAGCAGAGCAATAACAAAACAAAAACATGCTTTTAGTTTCAGAATTGGATTTTTAAAAAAATAGAGCTTTCCAGTTTTCCCAATGAGAAAACTTTGAAAAGTGCGAGTGCAGCCACTCCTGTAACTCTTCCACTCGGAAACACACGAATGGCCATCAGAGAAATGAACCAAATGGCCTTCTCTGTTTCGGTAGTGCAGGCAAAGGATGGCTGACATGAGAGGAACCGTGGGTGCTTTAGCATGAGGCTTGACTCATCTGTGCCGTTCTCCTTGCCGGTGTTCACATTGATGTTTTATGTCAGTCAACCAACTGGAGTTAGCCTCGAAACTTTCTCTTCTAACTTTACCTTGGAATAGAAATAACAACCTGGAGTTATCCTGAGAGTCAGACTTTTTCGGCTCCACGCTAACAGATGTCATGCAAGGTCAGAAGTCAATTCAGAAATATTTAATCTAACCACTGACTGAGGTCAAAGATAAGATTTAGGGTAAAATCTCAAGACATTTTTGGAATCAAGCATTGTCACAAATAAGCACCATCCGATTATCGTTATCTGGAAAATTGGAGGATGTTTTTTGGCAATGTTTTTTTGCCAACACCAAACTTGTCAGAAGGGGTGCCTATTTTTTTTATACTGGTTTTGAGTATAAATTTGAATTTAAACAACTTACACTGAAAAAGTACTTAAGCAAAAGTGCTGCTATTCTGGTAGCCAGACAACAGCAATATTTCCACAAAAATCACGTTTCTTCCATTTTAGTCCTAAGTTGTTCGTCACAACCATGATGCATCAACACCATAACTGACAATTTACAAAATTTTGATAAGGTTTTGTGAAATAAAAGCTTAATTTGAGTAAACTGTAAAGATTTAATGTACCTACAATCTGGCCTCCTTAAGAATAACATCATATGAATTGAGGTCGTTTGGCATTTCGTCAGAGTTTTTAATGGACAGTGTGACTCTTTCAGTGATAAGTGTTGACAAATCTCACGTAAATGTTAATTCATTTTTATGTATTCTACATAAATGGCATTACTTTACTCACTAGTTTGTCACCATCTTCAGTTCTGTGTTAACTCCATCAGATGGACTTTATGTTGTTTTTAGTTTTAAATAATATTTCTTTTGTTTCTTGAGAGGCATTTGTCTGTAAAACTGAGTAAAAATATTACTGATAGAGTAATTAAAAAATTATTATGTATTTATTTTTGTCAGAGAGGATGACAAAGTTCTAGGTCAGGTCCATTAAAAATGTAATTTTCAAAAAAATGTTGCAAAACATTTGTCATATTTGTACACATAAGTTTAAAGGAATCATTTTTAAAAGTTTTGGGAAAATCTAAACCCATTTGTCCCACTTCTCAAGAATGACTGAGCACCATATTGCCACGATATGCATCATTGCAACCGTCTGAAAGCAAAACAGTACGAGCAAAAAGCTGCAGTTGCACAGCGTCCAAAACCAGAGGGTACAATTGTCCAAACATGTAAAGTCTGAGACAAAGTGTTCCTGCTCTGCAACCTAATCAACATAATCGCAGCTGTAAGCTGTTCATGTAAACTAAATTTACATGAACAGGGTTAAAGAGCTTAGAATCATTGCCGCAATTAATACATATGAAGTGAATGAGGTTAAAAATAAGGTAAGCTCAAAAGTTCAGCTATTAAATTCTGAAATCTACACTGATCTGTGCAAAACTCTCCCAGAACTGAAAAAGGTATTTATGTAAATATGTAGAAAGTTGCTTAACCCTCTCAGGCTCAAATTTCTTGAAAAAACAGTCTAAGTTGTTGCAAATCTGCAACACCTGCCTGGAGAGGGTTAAAATGCTGCAGTACATGCATGTAATTTCTGTCATTCTTTACTAATACAATATGTCATCAAAAGGTTTAATTATGACATAATGTTAAGCGAATAGATCAGAAGACACAGATAAAATCTGCTTCCCATTTAGCTAATCTAAACACACAGACAATAGTTTGACTGTTCAAACCTCAAACTCTCAGAGAAAAAGTTCACCAGACCCTCAAAAAGCTCAAAATCAACGTGAGGAGGAAGAAATAAACCAGCTGAACTGACTGTGACTCACCTGTTTCCAGTTGTCAAATATGATGACTTTGCTGTCCTCGTCGTCCACCGTCACCGTGCACTCATAGCCCTCGCCTGCAAACAGACATCAGTGTCACACCCATCCTTCGCCACCACTACAGGAACAACACAACGCCTGGGCTGCGAATGTGTTGTGACAAAAACATCCTTTCACCAAAGTGGGACAATATGTAGATTGTGTTGCAGGAAGCAGAGCAGTATTCGCTAAAGAAGGAAGAGTCTGCACACTTCCAGGGGCAGACTTAAGAGTGGCAGTAGGTTAATGCCATTTTTATCAAATGTTCCTTCACTTGGACCTGAAAGTGAATCCGAGTGTCAAGGAGGATTTTTAAATAAGTGAGGCCAGATGACATTCTTGCACAGATATCTTTAAAACGGCTGAAACTATTCAAGTCTTATTAGTGGAAGCAGGAGAATATAGAGCTTTTCCAGTCACACTGATTAAATATTGTAAATGTAAAAAATAGACTTCTTTATTCTTAATTACTATATTGTGCATGGCATGTCTGACATTCTGCTCCCGTTTGTGAAGACAGATCTACAGCTGAGCCTCAAAATTATTCACAGTCCATTCAGGTTTAGATTTAAAGTTTTATGCCTCCAAGAAGCTTTTTTCTGATCGGAAATGATACAGGCGTCCTCCGAAAGATTAGAAGACAAAATATAATGGTTATCAGAATAAAAGCAATTTCTTTTTTTTTTATTATTTAACAAAAGACATATCCATGTTAAATATGCTCGACAAACAAATGTCTATTACATCAGTGTTATTTTCAAGTCAGAAGAAACGTATTGGTAAAGTTATATTACTTTAGCTCGAAATCAACCAAGGTGATGAATAATATCTGACTTGACTGAATCTTTATAGAGAAATTCCAAGGCTGTGCAAACTTTAGGTGACGCTTAAACACGCAAGCACAGACCTACTGATGAATATGACGCTCACACCCTGTGACCTGTAGCTTCTCAGCAACTAAAAATAAACATCAGGTATTTGTATCAAGGGCAGCAAACGTCCATCCTAATGGCCAATTAGATTATTACCAAGTAGAGCGTGGAATCCATACTAAAATGATAAAAGCCTTGGAAATATTATCTCTGAGTCGTCCTTTGCCATTTTGATAATGCAAACACTGGAATTGCAATGGCGCATGTGATTCAATTATTTATGCAACTCTGGATAATTAAAAACTTTGGTAATGACCTCACTGTGTAACACTGTTGAAATGTAGTGTGTTGTAGTACACCACGTTAAATCTACCAGCTCTTTAAGCATTTATGTGGAACTGAATTTGTTCATTTTACTCTAGTATCGTATGTGTCTATAAATGCCTTGGACAGAACATCTTCAACAGCGTATCTCCTAAAAATCCCAAGAAGCGACAGCTGTGAACGCTCTCACTTACATATTTGAAAAGACATTTTCTCAATTTTGCACTGATGCAAAAGTTTTCAAAGATTTTGAAGCCAAGTAAGGTTTGCCAACTTCAAGTTTTAAGTTAACTTAGAATATGAGAAAGGCGTAGCAAGAAAAAAAAGAAACTGCTACTAGAAAGTGCCTTCTTCTTCTTTCTGAATATGGTGCAGTGATCCAAGAGCACAAGAGGAGCTGATGTAATGAATGCTTTTCAGTGTGGGCCAGGGGCATGTTGGCTGTCACCTCGGGGTGACAATGACTGATCGACTGGCTGGCTGAAGAGTCGAGGGCTGATTAGCCCTGGTGTTACACTGAGCTGCGTGTCAGCAGATCTGCTGACTGACAGATGCCACACCGGAGCACAAAGAAAAGTCCGACTTTGGCTGCTTTAATGTGACATATGCTTAAAAGGAAAGAAGCGAGGTGTTCTTTCACACAAAAATGACGCACGTTGTGGGTGAAAAAGAACTTCTTCAAGCTGCGGCTTGAAACTGCCTAGTGAATATGTTTCTACCATGATTTTCTATCGTTGATGCAAATAGTGGCCATACTAAAAAGCAAAGTCTGCCTTACAATTTGTAATTGGGCGAGTTGCTTCCAGCTTCCCTGTGTGAAATCCAGATTCGCAGGGTATTTCAGTTGATTATTTTAACTGGGAAGTTCCCAGTTCAAAGTACAACTTGGAGTGCAGCATTAGATGCAGCAAAAAGGGTTGAAGCTGAGGTCCTTTCAGCACCACCATGAGCTCAAACAAAAAGCTAGAGCTGCATGCATATTCATTTACGAATGGCCCAATCAAAATGTAGCCTGGATGACTGCTGTTCAGCTTCATGACTTTTAAGAACAAGACAAAACAAATTCAGTTTCTAAATGTTCAAAGGTGGCAGAGATGCACTGAAAATCTTGCAGCTTTAATTGTTGGGAATTGTAGTTCAAAACCTTGATTTGTTATTTGCAGAAAGTTTTGAAAAAAACGACACTCTTTTTCACTTTTGTAAGGTACTACAGGACTATACAAGTGTGCACTCTCTGTTATAGCGTACGGTAGAATCAGGGTTTGTGACTGCAGAGACATATTTCAACAGGCCTGCTCTCTGCTCCCATTAACACACATCTGGCTCTGGAGTGAACACAGCTGCTCTTGCCACAAGATTTTGCTTCCAAATTTTTTTAAACAGGACATTTTAAGCTCAATAAAAGCACAGCAGGCAGCTTTAGACGGGCGGTCTAAAGAAGAATAACATAAGCAAGACTGCCAATTGTCCAAAATAAGCTGATGACAAGATCCAGACCACTGACATGTCTCTCTGCTGGATAAGAAATTATGAAGCTGCTCAAAACTGGAATACAAAAACAAAAATGAAGAACCACAAAAAATAAAGGATATTAAGACATTGATTCACATGATCTTGTCTTTTATATGCTTGTTTATTTTCTTGGACTTTTAGCTTCTGTTGGATCTAGTTGATTATTTGGTATGCACATCATGCCAAATGTGAAAGAAGTCTCCTAATCTAAATCCCATTAAGGCAGGAAGTGGCTGATTAACCGAGATGTTTCTCTTTAATGCTTCAGAGGTGTGTAAATGAACTGACTTTGTGGCTCAGAGAAGAAGTAAGTTGATCTCAGAATATTTTCACTTTAATTTCCAACATGCTTCACACAAAGACCCATTTCTTGAACCACGAGGAAATCATCCGTAAAAGAGATGTAAGAACACACCCTTCCACTCCCCGTGGTTTCTAAATGTAGGCTAAAAATATTTGTAATTGAATTAATGAACAAAGCAGCCAGTATCAACGTTTAGGTTGCATTTTGATAAGACCTATGAGCAAAAAAACTGGACAATCTCAAATAGCCATAAAAAGACGTCCATGAGCATCATTTGTCTAAAGAGCGATTAAGAATAATCTCACCACTATGCACTGAGACAATTCATTTTGAAGAGACTTCTTCCCATTTCTATCCAGAGATCTGAAGCAAACAAACAGAGGAATCCTGGGATCCTCCAATTTTTTATTCATTTTGTTTTATCAAGTCTGATAACTAAAAAACACTCAGTCATTGACACACTGATGATGGTAAGTTCAATCGACACCACCTGTGACCACCAGCAGGACGCGAGGCAAGTGAAGTGCCTTGCCAAAGGATACAACTAGCCCATGGAGCAGGGGTTTCAAACCAGCAACCCACCACTTACAGGACACATCCCTAGCCCTGCTATCATAAGACAATATCTAAATGGCGATGTCCGCAAAAAGCCTTTTTCTGGCGCAACTGACTTTCCTTTTTAATAATAAAAAATATACATATAAAAAAGTAACATTTGTCGTAATAAAGCCTAATTTCAACATCTGCTCAGCCTGGCTGATATTATAAAACTGATACTTAGAATCTGGACCAAATGTATGCAAAGTTATGTGTATAAACTAAAACATTATCAGCAGTCTGGTCTCCGTCTTGGACAGGTAGTCGACATGCCATTGCAATCATCCTACAGAAAACCTTTAGTTTATGCTGAAGAGTACATCATGGACCAGGACTCTGGATGAACTAGAGATATTGTGCAAAGAGGAAAGGTCAAAGGTACCTCTATTTCTTTGCTATACCCTTGTGAACCTTTATGGAGAAAATTTTGGTGATGTGCTTCGGTTTAAAGGAGATTGTACAAAGTACTGACAGTGGAGGTGCAAATAATTGTGGTACCAATGTTCTTGTTAAAACAGTATTCTCACATAGTAAATGTACTGAAATCAAAGGTTGGATTATAATGCAAAATTATGATTGTATTATGTATCTGACATTTTCTTTGCCCACAAATGCAAAAGGTGCTGCATTTTTAATAAAGATCTCCCACTCAACGTTCAATGCATTACCACAAGCTTGTGTCTCAGAGTCTATAGAGAGCGATCTGTCCGACTGTCCGGCCAGGGATAAGGCAAGCGACGACTTGCCCACGCCATTCTGTCCCAGCAGCACTATCCTCAGCGCCCCGCCGTGGCTCTGGTACGTCGGCTGGGATGCCGCCAACTGGCTGAAGGAGTCGTCTCGAGGCACCGCTGTGTCACTGATAGGCAACGTGGTGGGCTCCTCCAGGCCCGGTATCCAATCACAGTCGTCGGACACGGCCTCCTCTCGCTGCAGCTGGTGCTTGACGGGCAGGGGCGTGCTCCCTCGCCGGAGGGGTGGCGCCGTGGTGAGGAACATACTGTACTGCAATTAAACAGAGACAGACAGAAAACGTAAGAGCAAGTACGAGGAAGGAGGGGAGCACGTCGACGGCATATGGTTTCTGTGGATGGAGAACGAGCTTTAAAATCCTTCTGAAGCACATCTACCTGTCAGACCGCGGACAGTCTGTTCTGTATTAGCAAATGTTCTCGGCGGAAAATTTGCTTAAGAGATGCCTTCACATAGTGTATATGTGTGTGCAATGAAGAGGGAGGTGATAACACTGAAGGTGAGGTTCCAGGGTGAGGAAGAAGATGCTGATAGACAAGATCAGAGTCAAAGGACAAAACAGAAAGGAGAGGTAGTAAGGCTGGCTCGCTGGGCAGTGAGATGAGTTGGACATGCGAAGGCGCTGAGGGATTGTAAGAGACAGCAGGCTGATAAAGACAGTGAATAAGGTGGAGACCTGAGAAAAGAGAAGTATCACAAGGGAGAGACAGACATAGAGAGGCTGCTGCTCGGTGTAACAAAAGGTGTAAGCGTGATCCGGAGGCGCCTATACGCTGTTCATGGAGGCTGCAGCACAAAATTAAGAGAAAATGTAATTTCTACACTGGAGCAGAACTGAACAGGGGTGTGCTGGAGAGTCCACATGATGAATCTAAGGTTCTGCACACATGAATATGCAACTGCAGCATGTCCACCATAGATGACCCTCATCAATATTAATACAGCTATTAATCCATCTTCAGCAGCACCACCAGGCGTCTGTGGCTCAGTATCTGTGCGTCGCAAATTCAACAAACACCACCAGCAATTAAACAAAGCGACACAGAAAATGAGAAAAAAGGAAGATGATGTGAAACAGTTCAGTAAAATACAACACACCTGTTTCATTAGAAATTGATTCTGGGATGAAATAATAGAACAAGCTGAGATGAGAAAGCTGGAATGAGATCGCATGTCGCCAGATCTGTTGACATTAGCTGGTCTGTCTTGAGAAGCACTTTGCCATGAACTTGTGACTTGGTCTCGTGAACTATGTTCAACAATGACAATGGATGACTTTTTTTTTTTTTAAATTAAGCTTCCCTGTTGTGTTGTATTCAGGAAAAAAAAACACCAATCGAGTCAGATTAAAATTATTTGAAAGTACTGTAAGAATACCATGACTAGCCAACTATTAGCTGCTAAGAATTGAAAAAGGTTGCCATCTGGTTCAGAGTTTGGTGCCTCCACTACAAATTTACAGAGAACTTGCAGAGAGCAAGTTCTCTGTAAATACACAAGCATAATTGACAGCGCTAAGACCCTCCTCCTTGCAGTTATTGGTTGTTTCTAAAGGCTGTACTTCTGTAGTTAGCAGGGGAAGCACAGGGAGAAGGCAGAGGATCCTAATTTTTCAGACTCTCATATTATGTATTGTCACAACATGGTGACAGCTTTACCAAATATACTCAAACATTTTTTACCCAAGCTATAAAGATACTATCACTTTTTCAGACCATATGGATTGATCATATTTCTTTTAAAAAGAGGACATCATGTCTTACTTTTGCAAACTTCATGTTGTGGCCCATCTTGTCTCATGAGCTAAAAGTATTGTTACGTTGAAACTAATGAGACCCGGATTCCACCTGGTTTAACGTCTGTGTTGAGCTCGTTGCGGACTGGTCTGCAATGCCGTGAAAACTTTCTTCATTAGGCAGATAAGATGAACAAAAACCTTCTTTGACTGTACAGACAAAGAAGGTTTTTTTCTTTTAAAAAAAATTAAATATATCTCTATTAAGCACATTTTGCTGTCTAATTATTAATCAGTTTTTTGATTAATCAATCAAAGAAATATTTATGTCAAATAGCTTTAGCAAACAATTTATTGCCTAAAATGCATCTTTTACTGTATTTCTAATATTGTGTAAAAGAAATTAAGTGGCTGACTGTAAAATCTGTGCCAATATTTTTTTATCCGATTGATTTTATAGTCAAGATAATGGATAAATGAATTGATTACTAAATGAATCATTAGTGGCATGCCTTTTTCTACCATGTCAAACATTTTCCAATCGCTGGTTAACACATTGCCCTCATAAGTATGCCTGGTGGTGCAGGGAGCAATCAGGTTTATAGGTATAATGTATTTATATACATTATACTCCCGTGCAGAAGTGTGGATCCTACAGCTGCTGACAGTGAGTAAGAAGTAAAGTACATCGCGGACAGGTCACCTGTCCATCACTCGGCTAACACAGAGAGGCAGCCCTGCTCTCTCACACCTACAACTTAAATTAGATTCATCAATCACCCTAACCTGGATCTTGTTAGACTGAGAGACAAGTCTGTGACAAGTCTGTGACTGCTGCCGTTAATACACAGTATATTACAAGGATGAACCGCCGTGTAATTTGTGTAATTTCATGTCATGTATAGTTAGCAGACATGCATATATTGTACGTAACTATGTGTTGGAGTTGATTATAGCTGTGAAATACGGTGATTGTGGTGCGCTGTTGTATGTAGTAGAAATCTACAGGGTAAAAAATTGAGATTATTCTGAATACCACCTAAATAAATCCACTGCAATTGTCATCAGAAGTTCCCAAATTAGTAAACCTTGTCCATAACTTGTGATTAAATGTGGGTGTAAATACACCTGCCCTGTGAAAAGTTCAGAAGTCATGAAGTCCAACAGCAGACATGTCATAGAGAAAGAAGGTTATGAAACAATATCTGAATTATTGAATCCTCAGATCAGGTGCGGATGTTCTGTTTTTTTCAGTGAAACAAGAGAGCTGGTCCAAGTTGACAGGAAGTTGTTTGATGCCTAATACAGAGCAATCCTGGATGAAAAGGTGAATGAACTGATGTTTTTCAGAACTTTTTATTATCTACCTGAACAAGTAGGAGCTATTTTGGAATGAAAAATAGGAAAGAAATTCCTCCCTTCTCTTCATACCGATCATACTTGCGTCGCTGCAGCTGAAAGGTGTTTGGATCTGTTGAGTGGTATCAAAGTAAACTGGATAAAACACAAATACGGCACACAGTTTGTTTGTTTTTTTTTTAAAGATTTTTATCTGTGATTTTCCCTTCACAATTATGCCCCACTTTGTGTAGTATGAAAGCAGCCTAGCAAAGCAAACTGGGAAGGGATTTGTTTCTGTTTTTCAGCCAAAACAAAAGAAACGGAAGCAAAAACTGAAATAGTATGCAACAGAGCAGCTGGATTTAGTGTGTAATATTGCTACACTGCAGCTTACTTACAATTATTTTATTAGGAGGGTACAACAAATAGTGGCAATGTCAACTAAGGCCACGCAGCCTACTGATTCACTGCACAACATGGCATAACATTGCATACACTTAAATATAGTGTAGTGCTTTTTTGTCTATAAAGATGCCAGCTGAGGTGTGACAGCGACAGCACCTTTGCACTATCTCGACTCAGGCAAACCCACACACGCGTTTGCGCACTCTAATCACTCTCACGGAATCAGCGGGGGGTTCCTCAGTTAGGTTAAACTGAACGAGCTGATCAATTAGGCATGCCTTTGAGTGTCTGCAGCGGAGACAGGAAGCCGTGACCGGGCGGGCCGAGGCGGCGTGTCAGGGGTTAAATGTGCTCCTTCGCCAGGCTTGCAGAGAGAAACTGGGGCAAACAACGGCAGACAATGCAAAATTAATACCACGGGTTTGTGTTCTCTCCTCCCGTGGTCTGCTTCAGAGTAGTAGCTTCTGCTCACTATGCGGCAATTCTTGAGCGCTCACAGAAAGCAGGGCTGATGGTAAACCCGATAACCGGCGAGGAAAATGTGACTGTTTAAATGCTGCAGTTAGTTCAAAGTGCATTTTGTCGCGGTCCACAGACGCCTGACACTTTAGCGCGGGTTGTTTAAGTGAGCACGTGAGAATGTGTTTCAGGGAAAATAATGTGAGAGGAGCTGCGTGTTTATCCACCTGTGCGTCTATTCTCGGCAGAGCGCACGTTGTGTGTGTGTGTGTGTGTGTGTGTGTGTGTGTGTGTGTGTGTGTGTGTGTGTGTGTGTGTGTGTGTGTGTGTAAAGAGGTGTGGTGAGAGTGCGGGTGGAAAATGTGCGTCGCCTCTTACCTGGTCAGCCATGGTGGTCAATAAGCCTTCTCTGTACGGAGCGGGGAGAGCGGCGTGCCTTCGGGCTGAGGACCCGGCGTCACATTCACAGCGGCGCACCGGATCAGAGAAGCAGCGCGCGCGGTCATCTAACCGCGCTCTTGTCGTTCCTGCCCCGGCGCGTGGGAAACTGGGATAGGTGGTAGTAGGTCCGCGGAGGAGGCTACACCTGCGTCCGCGCTCCGATTCAGCTGCGCCGTAAATGTGAACGTGCTTGGGGGAGGACAGCAGCTCGGCAACACATCCCCACTGGTGTTCTCCTCGTCCCACTGGACGGCCGCGTCTCAGCGCACGCCCTCCCCACCTCCTGCTTATACCTGCGTCTATCTCTCCTCTCCTCTCGCTTTCCCCTTGTGTGTGTGAAGGCGCGTCCCTCGGTGAGAGTGGAGTGATCTTCCGACGGGTTGGGGAGGCAGGGGGTGTTCAGCAATGGAGTAAAAGGAGTGCCCCTCACTTCCGCCTGTCATAATTAATACCTGTCAGCTTTATGCTATCCGAGGCTTCCTCGTAGTAGGTACACCTCACCTGGTGTGTTGCCTTTCACCAAGGATTTAAATGGGAGAAGTGTGGAGAGCGGCCGCCGGAGGGCAGCAGAGAGAAGACCCCAGGTTGATGAATAAAGTATCCCCCGGTCGCTTAAGTCATTGATTGGCTGAACGATCCAGGGCACTGGCTGCCAAAGGCTCTGGAGGAACTGTATTTAAACTGCAGCTGAAGTTCGTTGAAGCATTTGTTGGTTAAAGTTAAAGTGACGGAGGTGTAATTTGGAGTTGATCATAGATTACTTTAAACAAGGAAGTGCGATGGAAGAATGAGTCGATGACTCAGATACCTGAAGAATGAACAGTGATCATTGTAAAAGAAGTGCAAAAGCAGGAGACTGGCAAACCGTGAGCTGAGGAAATAAGAAAAGGAAAGGATTTGAGTCTGATGAAGGAAAAAAATAATAAAAGAAATGAAATTAAAGTGCTTCTTAGATTCCAGAACCCATGTGCTTTGAATCCTTTAAAAATAAATGAGGCGACATACAAAATAGTATAGCTTGTCCACACAGGGGTTGGTGAATGGACTCGGTGGGTTCCTGCTGAGATTAGAGGGGTTAGGGTCAGGGTTAGTAATTTGCCTCTGTATCGGGAAGCCAATTACCCCCCGGTACGGAGGACGTCCACTGTAGAAACAAACGCTTGTTCACGGATTTTGAATATTAGGCCTGAAAAACTGGAGTGAAAGAGTAAAGTAGCGAGCGCGTAAAGAAAGAGAGGTGAGGAGAAGGCATGGAACATGGTGACACCAGCTTCTGTCGGTAACCAGGAACCTTGGTGCAACTTGGTGCAAATTAATATCAGCTGGTTTAGCAGCAGCAGATGGCCTGTTTAAAAGGGTCTCATTACCAAGGAAGCCAGAAGTAGCTGCCACGATCTGTTGGGTTTGGCGTTCCTGCGTTCGCATGTCTGTTTATTTAGTTTTTTCCATCCTGCTTTCTGTTTTGTTTTCCTGTAGCTCGTGCTTCGTAATTTGCTTTTTGTCCGCTCATTCACCCGCGTTCACAAATCTCGCTTCCCTCGTTCATCACCCGACTCTCTGCCATCGCCGTCGTGTTGCTGCTTTTACCAATTTGTTCCCAGCTCCAGAGTTTTGCTGATTCAATTCTGTTTTCATTAAAGCGGCTTAGAAGAAGCTTACTGATTACCGGTACATGAAAAATGTCTGACCGCAAAGAATAAAAGCTCAAAACACTAAATGTTATTTGAACATTCTCAGCTCTGGGGTGGGATTTCACAAAAATAATATACATTGGCATATTTTGAGCTCAGAAGCTCTAAGATGACTATTGAGTTAACTCAAAATAATGTACAAAAGGTTTTAAGAAATGTCTAAGTTATTGATCTGATTCAGGTCCAGCAGGAACAGACAGCAGATGAAGGATCATTTAATGAAAATATTTTCACTATAAAAGATTAAGTATGTAGGTTTTCCTGCAATCATTTTTCTCTTTCTTGTAATAAGATCTTAAAATGAATTTCAACTACCAGAGAGGTTGGATTACAGTTGTTTTTTTTTCCTGCTAATTAAAAGTCAAGCTTTTAAGATCAATAATTCACTCTGGCTTTCCTCACTTCTGAGATATTTCACTAAATTTTATTTAGTGAAATTGGCATGCAAACAAATGCTGAATTATCTATACTGGTTATTATTTCATAAAAAAAATGTGAAGAGATCAAAGGTGGGTCTGATAAAAACCTAGAAAAAGAAAACATACCTTTCCAGTTTTGCACCTTAGGCATGTCTAACTTATCGTCATGTTTTCAGGTTAAATAAAAACAATTTTTGGGACTTTTGCAGAGACGAGATAAGGTGACTGTAGGTATAAACAGGCTTTGTTAAAAGTGGGGTTTGTGAGTCACTGCTGATATATATAAACTCTGCATTAAATGAATCCTCCCCGTGGGAATTACACAGCGATCAATGACAATTAATGAGCTGGCATTCTCCATAAGCCCATTAAGTAGTGCTGTCACACTCAAGATTAAATGTTAAATGTCCATCCAGACGACGGAAAATCACTTCCTTTTTGTAACGATTATCTCCCAGAGTTTTCAAGATGTTAAATCTTCTTCCAGCTCCGTGCATTCAGTGCAGCGGAGCCCTGCAGATGTGTAAGGGATTCCGGAAACACGCTGAATAAAAACGGGAAGGAGCCTCTCAATGGAGCCTGCTGAGCACGACGTTTTTTAAAAAAAAAATTTTTTGAGCTTTTGCTAATCTTCTGACTTAATGAAGCCATACAGTTAGGGTTGCCTTTTGGTTCCACGGTTCAAAAAATGTCAAGAGGTCAAGAAGTAACTAGCATTTTATGTTGTCGCTACCTTTCTATTTATTTTAGTGGGAAAAGTAGTTCTCTTGCAGTCTTAAAGTTGCAGGTTCAATCCCAGTCTGCCACATGTCGATGTGCCGTTGGGAAAGGCGTTTAACCCCAAATTTTCTACTAAGCTGTAAATTGAGTGCCTTTGTTGGCGAATATTGCAAGAGAGTTTAAAGTGAAATAAAAGCAGACACAAACATTATTAATCTGAAGGGTAATTTATGTTTCACTGAGTTACACTTGCATACTTTACAAAGAAATCACATTATTACGATACAAAATATACATTAGATAGAAAATGCTGACATTTTAGCAATACAACATTTAAGCTCACGCTGTCATGATATAAGACATCTACATCTGGTCGAATAGTGAAGGATGTGTGTGCAAGCAAAGTTCAGGATCCACAAGGAAACATGACAAAAATAATTTCTCAGTTAACCAATCATACCATTGTGATGTTTCTATAATGACCCAATAATAACACTACTTAATATCATGTTATACGCTGTGGAGACGCTTTATTTGCACTGAAGATTCACTCAGCTTAGCATGTCAGGTGCTTGAAGCGACTCTCCTGCACTTAATGTACATTTGGGCTCATGACATGATGCTTAAAGAAACATGTTCAACACTTCCTGAGTTTCTGTTGTTAAATGGTGATTTTTTTTTTCAGCTCAGTGATTTTAAGCGTCTTAAATCACAAATATAGGAGTAAAAAAAATAAATAAAAGAGAACATTCCACAGCACTGTTTTAAGAAAAACAAGAATTTATCCAAGAATCAACACAATCTACGACACTTTTGTAATTGAGGAAACACAAAAATATCAGTCAACGCAGTTCAAAAAGCTCTAAAGTAGCATCTCGTCATTAGAAGGATCTGCTTTTAAACCTTTAAGAGCATAAAAAGTGAGAAGGAAGTGGGCTGAGGATGACTGACAGAGTTTTGTGGATGCACAGAGGCATAATGCCTGACTCTCTGGCGCCCATCCCTTGCAGCCAGGAACTAGAAGGCATAATTTACGGTTAGGAGATACGTTGCCAGAGGCAAACTTTGTGATCTTGATCCAACTTGGATATTTCCTGTTTCTGTTTCACCCTTATCTTCAGGAAGTGGTTTGATATTTTTTCAGTTTTGTCACACAGCACAACAACAGCTCCAAGCTGAGAAACTGAGGAAAGCAGCACCGTCGCAATCGGTGAAGGTCTGTGAATTCAGTCGCATCATCTGGGATGGTCTGGACCGAAGATGAAGCCGTCCAGAGTTTTCAGTACTTTTCTTGTGTCTGTATAGTTCAGCATCTCCCTTTGATGTAAATTACATTCAGCAGCACACTTGAGTTGTGTTTTTTTTACCTGATTGCTTTAATTAGTGGATCCTCCAAGGCCTGTAACATAGAATTTTTTTTTAGAGATTCACTTTCAAAGAGCTTATCCTGCCATGTTTTAGGCTTCAACAGGATTTGCACAACATTCATCAGTCAAATAGAAGTGCTTCGGTAATACTCTCATCTGATTCTCTGCAAGAAAACAAATAAGCCTGTACCACTATGGCTTTCCTATTTTTTTTCAGCTCTTTGAAATTGCTTCATGCTATAAGCCCAAGTCTCCGTCAATTTGGCTGCAATGGAATCCAAATGGCAACATCCAATATCCTGGTATCCCTGAATAAAATACAGAACAACCGATTGCCTTCTCAAGCCGCCTTCCTGGATTTGTCCACATCAATCTCAATATATAAATGCAGTCATTCTGTAAATCCATGAGAGATTTGTTGGAGAAAGTGGCAGAAGGGTCGGGGATGACGTGGTGGAGAAGTTTAAAGCAGGGTTGGGTTAAAAGACAAACAGCAAAGCTTCGAACATCTCACAGACGATTTCAATTACTTTACCCCAAAAGTCAAGATAGAAAGACGAACCTGAAAACTGACCAACACCTAAGCCGGTCACCCGGACCCACAGGCGAGGCTACGGGGACCGTTAATCAGGCAAACAGCGAAAATCAACATGGAAAAACCAGAGGATTATTCACGCACTCCACAAATCTGTATGCCAGCTATCCTAAAGGTAAAACTGGAGTTTTATCAGCAGTTTCTTTGAGTAAAGAGAGACTGAATTCAAATACATGTTACAATCAGTTCCTGGTTGTAACATGGAGGAGCTGAGGGGGTTTCAATACTTCTGCAAATGTTTACATCCGGTCCTCTGCGGCACACAAAACTGCACCATCAATAGAAAACAGCAAAACAAATTACACGGCCTTCGCTATTTCATTAATGAGTACAACCAAGTTACAGGCAGTACGCAACATGACCTTTACATGACCTTTACGTTGTGACATTAATCCACTCTCGATGCAGATAGGATCCACTTCTAGGCAAGTCATTTTCCCCCAGCAGAGCAGATGCAGTACTTTGAGTCAAATCTCTTTTTAATAACCACTTCTCAGCAGTCAGGTTCTGAACCAAACAAGCCAGCGTCTTTTGATGCGCGTCAAAGTCAAAGGGCCCTCTTCTCACCGGGGTTATTACCATGACATTGAATCCAGAATCAGCTGCCGCCGAGCTTTTCAGGGGGATTTCTAAAGGCGCGTCATCTCCTGTGTTTCCGCTCCGTCTCTGTATTGGGGGTTGCAGGCCTGCGCTGCGTGTCGTGATGCATTGCTGT